CTGCAAACAGGCCAGCATGTTAGCTCCAGCATCATGCAGCAGCTTTCTGCAGAGCAAAATCGAGGGAAGGCCAAGGACAGGAATTCATATTTAAATTTAGCATCTGTAGAGAGGAAAAGCCAATATTCACTGTAGTGGTCAGACACCACAGTTACTGCAAAGCTACTTAAATACACCAAGACAACTGTACTAGAAGTGAAGCTCTCTGAGCTCTTCCTTCCTATCCAGCACATTAGATCAGCTCCATCACTGCTGATATCTTTAGGAGCTGGACAGTGTCCTCCAACTCAAACCTGGTTGCCTTGAACAAGGTACAGTAACAGAAAGGCATCCCAGCATGGGGGACCTGACAGGACTAAAACCACTAAAAAAGTTCAACCATGTGGGACTGAAAACCTCAGCACCTGATGCCAACTGCATGGGCTGGGATATTGTCAGGGATCTGTCTCCCCTTCAGACAGGGCTGCTGTAGCATGGAAGAGCAGCCAGGAGAGGCTCAAGGAAACAGACCTCTTCTTGTTTTTTCTCCTGTATCAACATAAGAAGACTCAGACACAGATCAATTTTTTCCCAAAGAGACATGATGTAGATTGGCTGGTGCTCCTAACCAGCACATCCTATTATATTCCTTGCTGAAAAAGGAATTTAGTTATTTTTTAAATTCCAGCTGCTATTCACATTGTAGCCTCTCAGAGCCACCTCAAGAGGTAGGTATAGATTGGTCCAAGTGCATTTTTGCCTTCTGGTATAAAGTCAAAAGTTTTAGCCTAGGCTGCACTGACAGTCACGTTACTGGATCAAGCTGTTCATGGAATCTACCCAGATCTCAGACAGCAAAAAAAAGCCAAGAAAAATGTGAATCCTCAAGAAAGAAAGCAATAGGCAGACAGTACCTCACCTATCCACAGGAGATACAGGTGTACCAGTACCTTGAATACTGGCAGAGTCCTGGCCTGTGCAGTCCAAGGGCAAGGGAGATGTGGAGAAAGCCAATTAAAATGATCACAGAGCCTCAACCCCGAGCCTTCTGCCACTCACTCAGCTCCATGGGACACAGGAAGCAGTATTCTCTGCCAAACAGATCAGAGCTGCATTCCTTCACATCTTGCTGGGTTTTGCTGTGTTTACTTATGCCTGCATCACCTAGCTCCCAGTGATGGGAAGGTCCATACTGATTGTGTTTAAAAAAATAAATGAGCCTGCATGACACCCTTAGAAGCACAGCTGAACTCTCACAGCTGAAGAATGAATTTTCCCCTTCAGACCCTCTAACTCCGCTCATCTGTGGGGAAATAGTCAACATGTGGCAGGATTTACAGGATTCAGCAGCGGAGGAGCAGCTCCCTCCCACATCTTCAGTCCCTCTGCCTCCTGTCTGACACTTGGAGCTTTCCCAAGCCAGATGGGACCCCAGCAGGATGTGCTTCTGCTGGCACTCGCTCAACTGGTGATGGTGGTAGCAGGCTAGAAGTGAAGGACCAGTTTTATTTGCATTTGCTGAGGAATGTTTTGACCTATCACCCTTAAGCCCAAAATTATTCAAGAGCATTAGCACCGAAAACTGCAACTGTGGTGAGGGACAGCAGAAATTAGAGAACAAGCACCATGAGAAGTTCTGTGTCAGTCTCTAGGGTTGAATATAATGAAGTACTCAAAATATACGTGTGATATATGTAATTAATGCCCAAAGCTGTTTCCTAACTGTGAGTTAAGGCTTGTCATCTTTATTTGACAGCGTCTTGTAATGAGAATGAAATTCAGCTGCTGTTTCAAAAACATGGAGAGGTTAGGCCTTGAATGTGTCCAGTACTTAGTGGTCCTTTGTAATTTTGGCAGGAAGAAAACCAACAGCTGCTCCCAACACCACTCAGGAGGACAGGAGACAGACAAACAATGGAAGACAGACAAACGGCAGAATGCTTCTACTGGTCATAATACTCAAAAACATCCTGTGTTGGGTTTGCAGGGCCAAGTTTTGGTAGCCAGGGGGCTACAAGGGTGGCTTCTCTGAGGAGCTGCCAGAAACTTCCTCTATGTCCAGCAGAGCCTGGCAGCTCCAAGGACAGATGTGCCACTGGTCAAGGCTGGGCCAATTGGAAAGGGCGGTAATGTCTCTGTGATAACATATTTAATAAGAAAGAAGCTTTAATTGTGTCCAGAGAAGAGTGGAGTGAGAACATGTGAGAGGAACAACCCTGCAGACATTCAGATCAGTGCAGAAGGAGGGGCAGGAGCTCCAGGTATTGGAGCAGAGATTCCCCTGCAGCCTATGGTCAAGACAATGGTGAGGCAGCTGTGCCCCTGCAGCCCAGGGAGGGCAGGGGGAGCAGAGATCCACCCACAGCCCCTGAGAATGCCAGGCTGGAGCAGGGGGATGCCCAAAGGAGGCTGTGGTCCTGTGGGAGACCCATGGTGAGAGTAGCACTCACTGGAGCAGCTTGTCCTTGAAGGACTGCATTCTGTGGAAGTGTGACCCATGCTGCAGCAGTTTGGGGAAGACTACTGCCCATGGGGTGGACTCAAGCTGGCAGAGTTCATGCAGAACTGGCATGCTGTGGGAAGAACCCCATGGCACAGCAGGGGAACACTCCTCATCCTTAGCAGCAGGAGAAGCAATGTGTGATGAACTGACTATAACCCCCATTCCACTACCCCCATACACTGGTGTGGTAGGAGGTAGAGCTGGGAAGGAGGGAGAGGTGGGGGGAAGGTGTTTTTAAGGTCCTGTTTTACTTCTCATTATCCTGCTTTGATTTTGTTGGCAACAAATTTAACTACTATCTCTAATTCTAGCCTATTTTGCCCATGATGGTGTTTGGTGAGTGATGTTTCCTGGTCCTTATCTGCTGCAGAAGAACATCAGAACAACGAACAGGTAGGTAAGGCTGAAGATTGGACTAGCTCAGGTAGACCAAGGCTGGGAGCAAAAGGGTGAGCTATTTCTAGCCCTAGGCCAATTCAGGATATCTAGGAAGGGGTGTAACAGACAGATGGGCTCATGATTGAGGGGTAGACCTGACCATAGAGGCCATCACACAGGTTATCCACAAATGTGAAAGATGAGCTGCCATCAAGTGAGCCACACAAGTGAAATATCCCTGGAATAGAGGGCGGTGGCTGGGTTTCCAGTGTGGTGAGGCCTGGCAAACAGATTACACCGGGCCACAAACATGTCAAGGCAAGAGTTACATACTCACTATGTCAGAGGCAACAACAGGCTGGAAACGTACCCAGTAAACCATGCCACTGCTTGGAACACAATCTCAGGTCTTGAGAGACACCTTTTGTGGTGACATGGTACCCCAGAGAGAACTGAATCAGGCAATGGGACTAATTTTCAAAATAATCTTATAAATTCTAAAGCAAAGAAACATTGAGGGAATATATCATATCCCTTACCACCCACAAGCCTCTGGAAAGACTGAGAAATGCTGAAGACTGTTAAGAGTTTTAGGTAACAGGACATGGAAGCACTATAATGCAAATTTTGTAGAAGCCACTTGGCTAGTCAATGCGAGGAGATCTGCTAACTGCACTGATCCTGCCCAAACTAAGCCCACAGACACTGTGGGAGGAGATAAGGTCCCTGCACAACACACAGGAAAGTGGCTGGGGAAGTCAGTGCAGATTCTCCTCCCATGGGAAAAGGCAAACACATTGGTGGGATTGTTTTTACCCAGGGACCTGGGTGTATTTGTACTTGTGGAAGGATGGGGAGACCGAGTATGTACCTCAAGGAAATTTAATCTTGGAGGAAAAACAAACTGTGTGAGTTTTATGTTGCAGGAAGTAAAGGAACAGGAAGAACATGACCTGACAAAGAATGAATTTTGTGAGGAGTAAGGAGAATGTGATGATGATGTGAGCCAGGCTAGTGACAACGATTAAGTGTGCTGCTTCTCCTGTCCTGACCACCCATCCTGATGGAGCAGAGCACAGCTCATAGATCTGGAGGGGTGGAGGAAGCCATGAAACATGAGAATAATATACATCTGTGAAAGGACAGCTTAATGAAAATGTATGTTTGGTATAGAGACGGTTCAAGGATGTAGTTTGGGTTGTACGTGTGGGTAAGAAGGGATTCCTCCACACAGAAGGGTTGTATGTGTGGGTAAGATGAGAAGGAAATACAGTGGAATAGTTGGAAGATAAATAAATTATGTGGGATCTAAACATGACACAAATGGTATGGAATAGAGTGGAGATTGTATTGAGTTTGCTGAGCTGTAGCTCATTTTCTCATAGGAGCCCTCAGTAATTTCCATTCATAGTTAGAAAGGTATGATAACACACAAGTGTTTTGGCTCCTGCTGAGCAGTGCTGGCACAGCATCAGTGCTGTCTAACATTCCCCACTCCCCCATCAAGGGACTGAGAAGTGGCAAGATCCTAAGATGGGACACAACCACGCCAGCTGGTCCAACTTAACCAAAGGGATATTTCATACCATATAACATCAGCTCAGACATGAAAGCTAAGTGAGAGAGGAGGAATGGGGGACATTTGTTATATCACAATGTTTGCCTTCTGGAGCAACTGCTATGTGTGCTGAAGCCCTGCTTCCTGGGAAGTGGCTGAATGTTGCTCAGTGGTAAGTAGAGATTAATTTTCTTTTTCCCTGTGCTTATGTGCACAAGCATTTGCTATTGCTTTAGTAAACTGCCTTATCTCAAACGCAGAAGTTGTTTTCCGTGTTATTTTTCTCTCCTGTGTCCCACAGGGAGGGGGAGTAATAGAGCAGTTTGGTGTGCACCTGGAACCCATTACACATACTTTTCCACTAGTGGTACTTTGAAGAAGACAGCAGTGACTGAGAGAGGCTTCAACATTTGAGATAATTTGCCTTCAGAGTATGAAACCCTGTGAATAGTACAGAAGGCTCCACACTGTCAGCCCAGTATGTTCAGACAGACTGGTAAGTCTGGTTCCCACTTGATTCAAGCTCTAAGCCCTACAAAACCTTAAATTCCCTCCCAAACCTCTCCCACCATAGGTTTTAGGTCTTGTAGAGATGGCAGGCCTTTGAGGTCACCACTGCACAACATATTCACAGTTACCTGACATTTTGGGTAGGGTTCCACCTCTCGGAGGGCAGCTCTCCACTTTGTGGGTCATCTACAGGTGGGTGAAGAATTGAAATACATACATCTCCATTCTGCAAGACAGAAAAAAACACTGAGAATAGTTTGGCTGGAGGCTGAGGCCTGATGACTCAAATCCACACTCTGGCTGTCTTCTTATCAGTTTAGCCTTGTTGATGTGAACATCCAAGTGCCAGCAAAAATCAACAAGGGCTGGGAATGGTTCTGAATTCTTCCTGGATCTACTTTATACCCAAGGGCTAGGCTGCAAACTGGCAAAAACCCCCAATATAAAATCAAGAGGTTTAAAGAATGTACCGAAGTAAGCAAATATAGTAATAATGCCACACAAAACTAGATTGGTCTCCAGATACCAAATACTACTGTCACAGTGACATGAGGTTTAATCACAGGAGACCCTAAGTAGGGTTAAAGAAAATTTGTGTTTTCAATGGTAGCTTGAGCTAGCTACAGGAAGTTTTTGAATTGAAGGGTTTAATCACCATCTACTAGCTCAGGTATGAAAACATTACGTCTCCCAGGACACAAGGACCTTGAACAGATGGTGTGGGGCAGGCTTACACAGCTCCCCTAGGACACAGCTGTTCAAAATAACAGATGAAAAAGCAGGAGATGCTCTCTGAAGGTTTCACTGAAAATCCCTTCCAGCAGGCAAAGGAAGAATATTCTGGCAGCATATGGAAGCCATACAGCCACATAATCCTCAATATGTGTTCTACTCACCAGTGTTATGGCCTGAATATAGATTTAAAGCTCTATAATGCCTATTTAGGAAAGCTGTCAACCCAATTCTCCATCAGCAACAGCACTCTGACACAACTGCTTTGTAGGAGGGCTGGAGCAGTATCCACCCTGGCTGATATCCTCCACTGAGGCAGAATCCAGGGACTCGCATGGTACCAGTGCCTTACTGCAGGATGGGGTGAAGGTGCAGATGAGGCCTGAGGCCAGCCAGCAGATATTGGCCTCTCCAGGTCCCCTGGGCTTTGCAGCCAGCTGTGGGGCAGCACTCATACTGTCCCCTGTCACCCCAGTTGAGGGCACAGACTGATGACAGGATCAGCTCTGTTCAGGACTCCAGGCTGGAAGCTTCCCACCTGGTCTCACATCCGTCCAACACTGCTCAGAGCACAGAGCAGGGCTGCTCACACCAACAGCATCTGTGCCTTTGAGCCCAGGCCAGTGATCTCAGCTACAGATAGCAGCAGCTCACCTGCTATCTGTGATCTGTATCCAGATTTCAGCAGTGCACTATTCATGCCAGGTATGCTAATCTAGCAGGCCCTTGTCACTTTGAAGCAGGTTTAGTCAAGAACACAGCAAGGCAGCACCTGGAGCTGCTGAATTCCAAAGCACATACTTAACATTGCTGGAACAGTTTGCTTTAAGAAGGCAGTTTCCCTTTTAGGACCCCAACAGGCTTGTGAAGTCTTGAAATTTTTTTTTAGTATCACTCCAAGCTGAAGTTAACTTTACCAATATTAGATTATGCTCAGTCTACTCTGCTATCACTAATAATTTCCATTTTTTTCTTTAACCTTTTCCTGGAAGAATGCAATGCTAGTGGCCAGAGGAAGTATCTCAGCACTTGGGAGAAGTTCCTGAAGCAATCAGGTCAGCAGCATGTGGACAAGCAGATATTTGGCAAAATGAAGACAGAGGGAAGCAACGATGTGAGAAGTTTTTGTCTTGCCACAATCAGTGTTACATGTTTGGGAACTGCACTGCTTTAAGAATCTGGAAGGGTGAAGGTATAATGGGGCCTGATGAGGTCAGCACAAAGTTCTAGGGATCAGAACAGTCAAAGGCCAAGACTTTCACTACATGCATTTTTGAAAGACATAAACGAGGAGAATGGGATGTTTATCTGCCATTGAGATATATTCTCCATTTCTATCAGGCCTGAGAACTGTTATGTCATAAAAATAAAGATCAAGTGAATGCAGTTTTACCAAAGTTCAGTTAGATGACCCAAGTAAACCAGAGATGGGAAAAACACACATTGCTCAAGTCTCATTGCTCAGAACTGGAATGTCAGTCCCAGCCTCTCCATGTGGTCCTACCAGCAGATTCTGTAAACTGTTAGTTTCTTTCATCTTCCTTGCACTAAGAGGTTTTTTTTGTCCCCTTCCTCCTGAAAACCCTCAAACCTCAAACACTTTACTGAGATAGTCTCAGTTTCATTTGAAGTTTCCCCAGTGCTTCATCTTCACTGCTTAAATGTTTCCAAAACAGCCTGCAAGCTGCTTCAGATTCCCTCAGCTACAAGAAATACTGCTATGAACACAAAGCACAAAGCTGAGAGCTTGTATATTTGAAGAGGAAACCCAAAATACACACATGAAGTTTTGGGTTAGTTCCTCCTGCTGCCTTCAGTTGTTTCTAGCCAATTTTTCATCTTTCTCACCAGGACTGGGAGAGGTCCTTTCCAAGGCTAGTTTTTGTACATTTCATTTTGGTAACCATTTGCAACTCACCTCCTGCATGAGGATTTCCAGATTCAGAATCAGTACCCACAGTAGGAGCCTACAATTATCTGAAGATTTCAAAGTTGTCTTTTTTATAGATCAAAATTCCATGTAACTGACATAGAGCCTTAAAGAGAAACACCATCCTTGGCTACAGGAAAGATCCTGTGCCAAGTACAAAACCCACATCAGAAAACTGTCAGATAACTGATGTGAGGATATCCCCGGATTAGGGCAATCCCCTGGATCAGTTAATAATTAAAGTGGGTTAGTATTCTGTTCTGCACTGAAGTTTGGCAAGGTTTCTAGCCATTTATTACTAAGCCATCAGTGCAGTTATCACCATGATAGTTGAAGCACATCCATTCCAAGATGGGCATTTGGCAGCAAAAACTTATCAGAAAGGACTTTCCAAGCCTAAGCCATCAACTGAAGGCTTTATTTGTTCATGGGATGGAAGAGAATGACATTCCAGTTTTCAGGTTCAGAGGAAGTCTGCAAAACCTCTCATAAGAAAACCTGTGATAAGGTCAAAGACCTGCACCAAAAGGAACATTTTGAAATCCTTTAGCTCCAAAACTAGAGGCAGTGCTCCTTAGCAGTTGACATTCTTCTAGGATACCCGAAAGTTCAGCTAGGATTTGGCTGACCTCCACCAGAAGTCAAGTTTTGAACCAAAACAGGCCTTCAGCCTTCAAATACCGCTCTATGGAACTGGGTGATATTGAACCAATAGCCTCTACATAGAATCATTCCTCTTCTGGAATGTGTAGTTCTATTGTGATTCAACTGCTGACAGCCCACAGCCTTGACTACCCTCTGAAAGTCACCCATACAGGTACTGCGTTTAAGGAAGCAGAAAGGTCTCTCACACACCCTAGAAAAAAACTGTTTAAAAAACACCTTACCTCATAAATGTTGGGGTGCCACATTTTGGTCAGGAATCTGAAGGTAGGTGGTGAATATGGATAGTCAATAGGAAATTTAATGTGAGCCTGAAAAAAAGCAGAATATTTTAGCTATGAAACAGAACAAAAAAGACCAACAACCAATAACTACAATGAAAAGATTGGGGGGAAAAATCATTAAGGCTACTAAATTGCTCATTTTATAAACCAGTGCCCAAGTGACCCCACAGTATAACTCTATGCAACTCCTTATGAGCAAAACACTAACTAAACAAGAAAAATCAAAACACCTGGGCTGGCAATGCTCAGAAGACAAGCCAAAATGCATTTACCATGTTCTAATTCAAGAAGCATTATTCAACAGCTGTTGTTAAAAAAGGGTAAAATATACTGGAAAAGTTTTAAATCAAGAGAGCACTGCTCTTTTTTTTTTGAGTTCAAAAGCAGACTAAAAAAATGTTTACTAAGATGAATAGACCTGTTTTATATTTGCCTGTAAAAATATTTAAAATAACTCTTCCCATGATGAAAAAAAAATTGTTACATAACTTGCTCCAGTTATTTTGTCTTTCTTTGAAAGTTCAGCTGGTCCATCCACCTGTGTTTCTAACACTACATGTTTTGCCACCACAGGCATTTTTCAAGTCCGAACATCATCAGTGTCTGTTTAACAAATCAGTGCATCTTGAGGAATATTGATAGGCAATGACAGCAAACATCTTGCAGTGGTCAATAACCATCTGTGGGGCACAACTCTGAGCTGAGTTGGTTGTGGGAAGGCTGCAGAGATCCTAGCACTGGAAATTAACTTCTCTGTGCTGTCCTGCCATTCACAGCAGTCTGAATATCAAGTGTCCAAAATACTTCTCTCTGGAAGGTGGACTTGCACACTGCTTGCTGCGCTGTGGAGCACAAACCCTTTCCTTGTAACTGCTCAACCCACCAAAAAGTCCTACCCACCAAAAAGTCCTACTGCCAGCCCAGCAAGGGATCTCCAGAGATGAATCTTCTGATCCTTCAAACACAGCCAGGTTCATTTGCAACAGAGAATGCAAGAAGAGATCCCAAAAGCAAGATTCATATTTATCCTGGTTTGAGACAAATTTAGGCGGAAACCTAGTCACCCTAGGACAACATGGTAAGAGCAAAATTCCAGGTCACTCTCCTCCACTTAAGTACCTAACTATGCCACTTGCTCAACAAGAGAAACCTTGGAAAATTTTATTCCATAGTACACAGAAGCAGACAACCAAACAAATGGATTACAGTACTGTTAAGTACCTGGCTACAGTTTTACTCACCAGCACACACCTCTGCTCTACAACCCAAATTTTATGTAGAGGGTGTCAGAGTGTCAGATAGTCAAGAAAATAAGGTTTTCTATTCACCTTTATGAAAGAAATTCACCAGCTCACATGGCCTTATGGTCACTAGATGCCTACTCATGACTTTTTGTGGGCATGTTACAGCAGTGTTCAGTCCTCACCTCACAGTCATTTGTCACAGCACACTCACAGCCAAGAGATTTATGATCCACTTAAACAATCCCATAGTTTAAGGCCAGTTGCACAAATGCCATTGCTCCAAAAACAGTGAGTGAATGGCTCTTGTCACCACTCACTCTGCTGCAGCAAGGACATGCCTGGGTCCACAACATGCTGCACTGTGAGCAGAGCAGAGATCTACCCAGGGCAGGGCATCTTCACTCCAACTCAAGTGATTGCATCATGTTGCTGCACTCTCCTCCAGACACCGGAATTTTCCCAGTAAAGCTCATTCCTGTGCTTACATGTAGTTTTGTGAGAGCTAAGACACAAAACAGCAAAAGGACTGAGACTAAAAATGCAAGGGACAGCAAAACTCAGGGTTGAGCTACCTACAAGATGTCTAAGCAAAATCTGTCTTCTACACAGCCACAGCTTCCAGGTGACCAAAACAAAAAGCATTGTGCCAGTAGATTACCAGCACTGACATGCTTACAGCCCATATAGATGCTCAAGGAGTGCAGGTCTCATTTCTCCCAGTAAAACCCCTCTGCTTTCAAATTGCCTGATCCTAAGGGGTTTGTCTCAGCAAGACCACTCCAGAAGCTGAGCCTGAGTCACCAGTATGTCCCTGTATGTGACATACTCATACAGACTCATGGAGATCCTGTAGATCCTGGAAAACTGTTCCAAATTTCTAAATCCTGTTTGACAAACATAGTTCTTTATTAGAGAAGGACTACCTGCCTACAATAACTATCACCATGGAACACAGTGTTGTGTCACATGAAAGATTCTCTTGAGCTCTAGCAACAGAAAATGCAACTGGAGAAACAAGAGAAATCGTTCCTTCCACATGCAGGCAGCTAAGAACATAGCTTCCCTGTAATACATCACATATTTGAGAAAGCAGTCGATTACATGGTGATTACCTATTTCTAACTAGTCTGTAGCTCTTTAGCACACTGAGGTTCTGTACTGGAACATAAAGAAAGTGAGGCTTCTCTACAAACTTGATTTCAGAGTCAAAAGCCCCCAAAACAGAAAACCTTGCATTACAGGCAGAGATTTTTTCCCGAACAAAAAGAGCACCACTGTCAGGTCCCCACAGTGAGATCATCCAGAATTTGAAAGTGAAACCAAACACTTTTCCAGGCCATTACAAACAGGTCTAAGAGAATTACCTCATCTCTTCTGCAAGAGAAACCATGGAAAGTTACGTAAGCCTACTCTGCTCTCAGTGAACGCTATTTGAGTTTCTGTGTGGGTTAAGCAAGCCAAGAATTTCCAAGACAAGCTGCAAGACTCCTTGCAAAATGCAGCAACAGCCACAGTTAGAGGTCACTTTTTTCCCCCACTGAAAGCCTGATTCTAAACACGTTAAAAAAAATAAAAAAAGACCAAAGTAAGCAATCAACCTAATTTTAACTAGAGCTCACAGAATAGTTTTTCCCTACAATTTCACTGATATAAGGCAAAAAACCCCACAACTGTTAAACTCAGCCAGGCTGCTAGGTACTAGAGAGTGGCAGAGTTTTCAGGGAGCATGTTGTTAGCTCAGTTACAGCCACACAAACTAATTTAGGAGGACTAAATATGCAGCTCAGCTCCCCGCTGCAAGTTCCAAACAGTTACTGCATTCATCATGTGGCTGACTCCTCAAACTGAGCTTAAACAGAACAGAAATAATCCTATTTTGGTGCTGATTTTAGCCAGCTGCATGCCATGGCTTCTTGACATCACTGAAGATACTCAATAGATAGGAACATAAAGACCAGTCACAATCAATCCATTCCTTCCTTCACCAGTTTGCAACTAGTCATGTTTATAATCCCTAGAAAAATAATAAACTCTTCTAAATAGTCCAACCTGACAGAAGATACAGCCCTTACAGACATTTACAGTTACCACAAAAACTTCAACTTCCAAATTACACCATAGCACATATTTTAAGAATACTGCTACCAGCATAGTCACTTTGTTTCCTATTTTACTGCTTCCCTGCATCTTCAACAGAGACTGCACTTCAGGTTTGTTCATCCTCTTTAAGGTGGATAAGACAAAAGCACAGGTTCTGCTATGTATGCCAGAAAAAAACAGTCTCACTAGATCTTATGTGACTGAAAATATAAACCTAATATTTCTGCCAGCCACTGAATTATTCACTGATTCAGTCACTATGAATAACTATTAAAGCAACTTTGTTTCTTGAGATCTTGCCACACACTTGACTCAACACTTATACTGGTGTCACAACTACTCCAAGCACTCAAGGCTTGGGGCAGAGAGGCTGGAAAGCTGCTTGGCAGGAAAGAACCTAGGGGAGCTGGTTGACAATAGCTGAACATGAGCCAGCATGTGCCCAGGTGTCCAAGCATCCTGGTCTGGATCTGCAACAGTGAGGCCAGTGGGACTAACACAGGCAGGACTCCCTCCCAGCCTCAGTCCTTGTTCCAGCCTAGCTGTGACACTTCAGGAGTCTGACACTGGTTTTTTACAGCCATTTCAAGCTGACAAAACTGAGATCCCTGATTTTTAGGCAGAAAGGAAGGAATGTTGAATCCATCCTACCTACCCAGTGCAGACAAGCCATGGGGGAAGCACACACATTTCCTGGAAAGCCACCAGGATCACAACTGTTCTGATTAGAGGATAATGGGAAACACCAGCAGTTTTTATAACACCCAGCATAAATTGCAGCTGCTTGGTGTTCCTGGAAGTGCCATTTAGAGATTACTTTTATTTCAAAACATTGCAAGCTTAATGCCAGCCCTTCTAAAACTCTGCATTAGTGAGGGCAAGGACCTTTAGCAAATTGTATTTAAGATCAGATACAAAGGAAGTGGTTTGAGTTTTGAAATTATTTTGTTATTTGTAATTATCTGCTACAGCCAGCCCACAGATAAGCTCCTATTGACTCTGGGCAGGTACTACCAAGGTCTCTTACAGATCACGCACCTGCCCTGGCAGACTTGCAGACAGTACAAGAACTCCTCACTCTCCTTCTTAAGGGACACAACCAGGAGGCTCCCCACTGTGCTCCTGCTGACTGCTCCACACACTGAACACAAACAGGAACTACAGGCCACTAGCAGGTTAAGTGGTTTATCTAATCCCACAAAAAGCCCTTCCCTGCTTCTGGTGCATCACACATTATACAATTCATTTAACGGAATCTCCTCTTCCACATTAAGCCTGGATTAGTGCATGCAGTAATAAACATTATGTGTTGGAAAACATGTACAGTAGAGGTCAGCAGTCAGTACCAGCAGACAGTTTCTTACAGCAGTGAGGTTTAAAGCACCTCAGAATCATCCAGCTCACAACACGTAAAACAGCATTACAGCCATCCCACTGCACTGTCAACTATTTGGTGAGGTAAAATGTAGGGCCAACACAGCTATTTCAGCTCCATTGGTGACTTATCACCGAAGTAATTTCTTGTGGCAGAGCTGGGTGCTAGCCTGGTACTTTAAACTCAGTTGCTTCATTTCCCAGCAACACTGTATCAGTGTTTATTGCCATCTGTTGTGCTTTCAGAGAATAGGAGGAGAACATCTCTGATCCAAGATGAGTGACCACACCACTGAAGTCTTTGAGTCT